AGGCTGAACAGGTTTAAAAAGCAGAATAACAGAAATTCAGAAAAAATTATCTGAGAGTCGGGAAGTGTTTCCATATCTGATGTGAGGATTGCTCATCAGCTAGAGATTACTAATATTTTTTTTTTGTACGCAAGACGAAGAGTAATAAAAAAATAACACATTTTTTGCTACTACATAATATTTTTCAGTCATTTATTTGAATAATGTGTAATAAAATGGAGGATTTAAGGAACCATTAGTTAAATTGGCTGCGTAACGGATATAGTGAACTGAAATGTCGGTCCCTTGCGGTTCACTATAGCGGGGTTTGACTGTATTACTCTATGTAAGATAGTTTTAAAAACAAGGGGCAACACTAAGAGATACTTTTCACGCTCCAGTGAAATGATACGTCACTTTTTGTACTCTTTTTTCTTCTGTATAAATTAAGCAACCATTGTATATACAATTATACGAAACATGTACGCAGTCCTACAATCCAACAGTAAAACTCCCAAACGAAACCTGACCAATCAAAGCAGAATATGATTTCTTGCTTCCTGCCGACTAAAAGCATAATAAGATAAAACGCACTGATAAATTCTGTTACTCCCGAGTTTTTTCAGGATAACAAATAGTTGCAATACCCGAGTTTTCTCAGGATAATAAATAGTTGCAATACCCGAGTTTTTTCAGGATAATAAATAGTTGCAATACCCGAGTTTTCTCAGGATAATAAATAGTTGCAATACCCGAGTTTACTCGGGATAATCTAGGAGTGGTTAATATCGAACAGCTTTACTCATCTATAGGCATTAAAATTAACAACAAGAATGATCTTGAAATTCAAAAGAGAATTACTACGGCCAACAGATGAAAACGAACCGTTTGTAAAATTGACAGGCTACATTGTTAGAAGACCACACCGAAAAAAAAAAAAAAAAATCACTGCCCTGCCAGTTGGCGAAGAGGCAGATCAAATCTGAAATGGATTTAAGACCTCCTACTCTTAAGGACCAAGAAAACATCACCGGAACGAAGGATAGTCTGGAAAGGGAGCCTTGGGAAGGCCAAGACCCACCCTGGGATATCGAGCCATTGAGAAAAGAAAATTGCTAAAACTGTATATTTTTCTCATAACCATGTTTAAAATGTTTTCATTTATAAGCAAACTTCAGAAAGTCATCTGATATTAATAAAGAAAAAAAAAGAATTTTTATGAAAAAGTGAGTCAAATAGAATAAATATTTTTTTAAAAACAATATTCATTTTGATCTGTTACTCAGAAGAAGAAAAAAATATGTTTTTATTTTCATCTTTTATTGTTCCCAATAAAAGGGAATTTTTTATTACTTTTTTTTTAAAGAAACAGTAATAAAGGCTTTGAATTTGCATTATGGTATATAAATTGAGCCTTAATAGAGCGTTTGACTGGAAAAATTTCATAAAAAAATGAGTCGTTCTGGTATTTTTAAAAATTTTTGCTTCTTAGTAAAAACAAATACGTTAAATAAATATTTAATGAATAAAAGTTCAGCAAAGAAGTATATAATAAAATAGAACATTTGACGAATAAAAAGAACACTTGACGAACATTTGACGAATAAAATTTTAGCAAAGAAGAATAGAATAGAATATTTCAGAAGAATAAAATTTTAGCAAAACGAATTTGAAGTTTAAAAACGAAATTTAAAAGATTCAAAGAACTTTTGCTGGAATGTTTTCAATCGAAGGAATTACTTGAATTTAAATATTGGAATGCGTTGAATTTAATTGAGTTGTTGGAAAAAGTTGTTGAACAAAATTGTGTTTAAATAAATTGTTAAGTGAATTTTTGGATTATTGATTTAGATCACAGTTTTCCAACCTTTGCAAGTCGAAAATTTTCCCCGCCCCCTGCATAAATATTTTACAAAAAAAGTTTATTCAAATAATTAAAATGCAAAAAAAAGAAAAACACATAAAGTTACATCTTTGATATGATCATATAATTACTTTCAAAAAAAAAAATCATATAATTATTTTCTTGAAAATTCCTACTGACCTATAAATTTTTATCCAGGCATTTTTTTAAAAATTAAAGTAGCCTTCAAGAAAGAATTGTAAGCATTTGCATGGATATGTCGTAACTTTAATTGAATAATCCACTAAATATTATCAATCTAAACTTCATATTTTTATAGATTATTTATGAAATAATGAATATAATTGATGATTCCTATGCATATACTGGATCAAACATATCAATGCGGCAGTTTTAAAATATTAGCTAATTATACGAATTGAAAACAATAGGAAAAAAAAACTTGGATTGAAGCTTCGTGTATAGAGAAATGCTCAAGTCTCTTAAAAAAATAAAATTTTATTTTCTTTGAGGGAAAAATATATGTTTTAAGAAATTAAGGCGCGTTTAAATAAATAAGGCTGTTTAGGTAAAATAGAGAAGAAAAAGATAACATTTAGTGTAATGAGTGAAAGAAATATCAGAGACATAAAATTCTTTCAGATGTTATAAATTAATGTTGAACTGTCACTGGAGCGTTGAAAATAATTCAATAAATTTGATGACACAAAAATGCACTGAAATCTGTAAATCATTTGAAAATTTTAATCAGTTTTTAAATGACACGAAAAAATGAGGTCTTTTTATATAGAGTTTATATTTTGAAGGTCAAGAATCCATATGGGTAAAAAAAAATTGCGTTTATTTAGAGAAAACACGTTTTTGTGTCTACTTTCGTAACTTAATTAATAATTAACAACAAATAATTAGCCTATTTGAGGTCACCCCAGAAACCATTAAGATTGACTCTTTGTACGTGAAAATCGCATCATTAGAACGAAAGTTATTCAGGATGATATCTTCTTTCTTATCGCACTGTACATAATTAAGCATTATACTTCACGAAATCAAATAATTGTTTGCCGTCAAATTCTAAATAATGTATAATGGCAAGTTATTTAAAATAAAAAAAAAAACAACTCTAGTGACATTATGTTTCTGTTGAATGAACATATGTTCTGTTCTAGTGACATTATGTTCTGTTCTGTGGGTTTAGGACTATTCATGTTCTACTCCTTGTAATTTTGAATCCAATTCAGGAGACAAGGAAACTCCCGGATCAGTACCCCCAGAGGGATGACTTGTAATGGGGACATGGAGGACTTTGAGACTCGACGGATTTAATGTGCACCAGTCACCATTAACTACACGGGGATTCTTCCGCCGGCGAGGATCAAATCCACGACCTCTTTGACATGGGTCGAGTGCCCTACGAAACAAGCTATCCCGGCCACTTGCACTCCAATTTTTTTATTTATTTTATAACCGTCGTTGAACAGCAGACCCAATGTTATGGGTTTACGTCTTCTTCTGTTCAAATCCGTAGCCTTGTAATTTTGAACCCAAGGGAACTCCTGGATCAAGTATTGGGAGAAATTTGCCTTCGTGGAGGAACTAACCCGCATTTGCGTTGCATGGAGAGGAAGACCACGAATACCTCCCACGAGTGATTAGCCTGACGGCAAGGGGACTCTAACCCATGATCCGTATAGCCAATGAGGATATCTCACGTCAGCACTGTGGTCGATGCGAGCCAGGTGAGGAATTCGTATCGACTGGGATTCGAACCCGGTTCGCCTCATTGGAAGGCGAACGCTCTATCCCCTGTACCATCGCTGCTCTAGATTAGTATATTATCGAGAAAAAAAATATCTACTTGGTCACCTTAAGAACGAGAATTCTAAATAATTTTGTTCTGTTAATTGTGCAAATTCTCTAATGAATCTTAACGACGCCTCTTTAGACGTCTTCGTTGGGGGGAAGGGGGAACGCCCACTTTGGGAATCTAAGACGAACTGTTGAAATAAATGGTTTTAGTTCAACAGATACAAACCTAATTAAAAAATTTCACGAGGGATAAATAATAAACTATGAAAACTAAGTTTGAAATAAACTAAGAAAAATATAGTTTGTTGGGCTGTTTAAAGATTAGAATATTTTTAATGGAGGAAATTATTTGAATTAAACTGCTAGATTTTAATTTAATTGCGATGTTGTTAAATTGAATAGCTATTTGAGATCTTGAATAAATTATTGAACCGAACTGTTGGAATGTTATACAAGGAACAATATATAATTTGCTGGAGTATTTATAACTAAAGGAATTATTTGAATTCATGTGTCGAGAAGTTTTTAGTTTTGTTGAACTGTTGCTTTAATACAGTTGTTGAACTTAATTGTTAAATCGTTTGTTTTGAAAACTATTGAATGAATGATTTAATTGAACGGTTTTTAACTCTTCCCTTACCCAGTTTTTTGAAGAACAAAAAAATGCCAAAAATCAACATAATTTTTTATTTCATTAATAAATGCAAAGAACATTATACTCAAGTTTTAAGTTGAAATTTTAATTGTTTTCTATGGATAAGAAACAGTTAATATACCAACAATTTACTATCCCACATCATCTACGGGCAAATGAAAAACATTTTACTCTCTCTCTCTATGTAAGTTCAGTAACCATACAATCACACAAAAAACCCATAATTCAACAACAAAACTCTCAAACAAGATTGGAAATAACAGCAGATAATTATTATTTTTTGTTTCGCTTCCGTCCGAGAAAAAAACGTGATAAAACAAAACGTACTGACGAATTCTGCTAAGCCCGAGTATTCTCGGGATAATAAATATTTGCAACGCTTACATACCCGAGTTAACTCGGGATAATTAGAGAAGTGGTTTATTTAAAATAAACAAATGTAATTTTAAAAAAAAAATTTAAGCAAATTTTAAAATACGTAAATAACACTATAATTTTCTGGTCAGTTGAAATGTTTGTTAAAAGTGGAAATCTTTTGAATGAAAATTTTTAGGTGATTTTTTTAGAATAATTGTTGAACTGAATTGTTAAATTGAATTATTGAAATTTTCATTGAATTATTGAAATTTTCGAGTCAATAAATCTTGTTGAAATAATTTTAATTTTAAAAGATACTAAAATATATTTGATACTCACATGCTCCCTCAAAGGATATCCAATTAAATAAACACCCATAAATCTCTACATTTTCTCCATTTTCCCCGATAATCCATGAGACAGCTGAATGTTTGAAGAGCTTTCTTTTTAACTAAAACCTTCTTTTACATTTGCCGAATTACCTATCTTGAAAAAACGCGGCCATCATCTGAGCAATGGAACGTTTTCTTGATGATAGGCCTTTCCAAAGTAGGTTAAGCGAAAAGAAGAAAATAAAAAGTAGAGTTTCATCTTTATGACGTCATTTGAAGCAAGTATACCTTTCATGAAGATCCAACAATTTGATGTTAATCGGCACGCACCCTAAATAATCGTTTGGTGTTCGAATGTTTCATTCGATCGCCAACAGCATCTCGAGAGGAAGTGATTTGTTTTCCGATTCGCTGTACATTTTGGGAATGTTTTTAATGGAAGGTTGTTCAGGTGGGGCGAAGAAAGGAACATATCACTCGAGGTGAGATGCAGACATTCTTAAGAACATTCGATGTTCCCATTAATAGAACAGTTGGAAATAGATGTCTAATGCCAACGAAGAATTCTCGCTATTTTAATAGGTTCAATTATGGAAAGGGTAAAATTAGGTTTCTCTGCCATGGACTTAGCCAATCGAAGCCATATAAAAATGTATATTCTAAATTTCTAGCTAGAAAACAATGCAGCAATTTTTACTAGAGAACTGGATACAATTGAAAATAGAACACTTTCAAGTATCGCTTGATCGGAACTGTGTTACGTATACTTCCAAATTCATAAATAAGGGACACAATTATTCTAAAATCAAATTTATTCCACCATTAAAAGGCTTATTTCTTTGTAATACTTGTTCGCGTGCGTTATTTCACCCAAACATTATGATATTAAATGTTTGATATATATATATATATATACATTNAGCATATATATTGAAAACATATATGTATATATTAAATGTCTAAATGACGAAAAAAAAATGAATGATGAAAACCTTTTAGGTCAACACATCTTACTTACCGAACCAATCAGCTCATTAATCAAGAAGTGTATAATTTCGGAGGGGGTTTTGTCCCCCAAAACTACGCCACTGTACCGAAGAGATAAATGTTTCCCAAATTTCACCCCAAGAAGATAAAAAATAGTTTGATAAAAAATAGACTTTAAAATTTTTTTTTTTATTTTGATTGAAAATTTTCATTATCCTCTGAATAAAACTCAGAGGGAAGAGAAGAGGGAATATTTCATTTAGAAAATATTTAAAATTATTATAATAATTCATAAATTTTGTTCGATACGTTTTTTTTTTCATCTCCCAACACTTTCAAATGGAATAAAAACCATGAAAAGTTGGTTAAAAACATTTATATCACTTAATAAAAAAATGTTTACGAACCATGAGGTTCAAAAATCAAAGAAGCCAGGTTATATTAAATCTTCCTTTAAATGCTTTTTGTTGGGATGTTTTTCATGGAAGTTTTCAGCTAACAAACTCAAAAAGAAATGCGAGATCTTTTCTTTCATTTCAAAATACTTATAATGAAACAGAGAATTATAAGAATGTATTAAAATTATTTGTGATTTAAAATTAGAGAATAAAAAGGGATGTCAAAATATATATGAACAACAATGATACTTTTTTTCAATATTATTCCAAAACTTGATAAAAACAATTAATAATTGGTAAAAAAAAACATTCTTTTCATGAAGTTACGTTTGGAAGAATTCCGTAAAATAAATTTTAGTTACTTTGGAACACAATCTGAGGATTTTTTGGGTCATCTTGTTTAAAGTAATGTGGTTATTTTAAACATGATGAGACCTTTTGGATATCGAATAAAGGCGCAAAATCTTTAAAAAATTTAATATCTAAATTTTAAAAAAAAAATTCGAAGTGGAAATATTTTATAATTATGAGCAATTTTATTCTAATTATTATTGTTAATATACATATTCAATGATATTAATTATATTATTGTCATTATCGTTAATTATTATATGACTATTATTTGCAATTAAACCCTCTGAGCATCGGACAAATTTCTTATTTATATTGTTTTTTCCGGTTCTTGCAGCAGATGAAATCAGGTGGTTCGACGATGCCCGATCCCGACAAAGGTTTTTATTTTTAACAAAAACTGGCCTCCTCATTAAAGTACAGTTTGCTGAAATGCCTGTACAACAACATCCTTATCTGTTCTAGGTATTCCACTGGTATTTGTTGTCATAAAGTTACCTCCAGGAGTGAAATATTCTTGGTTATCACGAAGACAAATTAAAAAGATTTTGTTTGAAAATAAAATTGTATCAAAGATGTGCACTCATACTATTAGACGCACTATAGGATGATGCTATGTAAAATCTTAATGATCTGCAGGTGATACTCTATACAGCTTCATTGCTCTTATGCGGTTTGTACTTGTTAGCGTCTAAATCGGTTAACATTGTCATGCAATACGTTAAAAATAGGAAGTCTATAAAATATCTCCTGAATAACAACTCATGTGTTTAAATATAAAAGCCTATAAACTCGTGCAAAACATGTCATTATTAAAACAGTTCAGTGCGTCTCCTAATTGAATATACATTATTATAATGTATTCATAAAATACCTGGTATAATAAATATCCTATATCGTCTCATTTATCCTCTCGTCAAATTTATATTACACTAGGGGGCTAAGCCCCCTGTTCGCTGCCGCTCACCAACCCCGATTATTGCTTCGCAATAATTATCTTTTCTTGGCAGAAAACAATTTTTCTATTAAATTTAAAATTATTCACTTAACATATATGTACTAAAAGGAATTCTGTTTACTTACTCTTGTGCCTCTACTTCCCACGTCTAAATATTACTCTCAAATATTACTTTACCCAAATATTAGATCTCTTGGTGAACGGAAGTGATTTTTCGAAGTAATCATTTTTTAAAATAACATTTATATTCTTATAGCATTGTATTGTTCAAACAAATTTGATGAGTTCACAACCATAATTTAATACTCTCGCTAATAGTAGCAGTACTGGAAAATAAGTTTAAATTAGGGATACAAAAATATTTAAAGAAAAACAATACCTTTACGACTATTGTTAATTTTGTGCTGATGACAACCAAAACAATATGGAAATGAATGAGGGAAAACTGCATCCTACCACGTGATTTTCTGGCCAATAAAAATGCACCGACAACAATGGTAAACTGCGACACCATCATTAGAATTTTATATATAGTAAGATATCGACTCATTAAACCCAATGATACACTAACAGTCACATAACACAACAGTCACATAAAAACAATACAGCTGTACAGAGTATCACGTGATAATTAAGATTTTACATAGAATCTTACAGTGTGTCTAATAATTTGGTCAGGTATTGTAAAGATTCCATTGCAGACAGCGATAGAAACACAATTAAATGTAGATCGCAGAACTTCCCCCTCCCCCCAGACCTACAAAAACAAGTATTTTTATTTTTGCTATCCTAAGAAGACAATTCACTTTTAAAAAAAAAAAAAACGTAAGTGCGTCATTATTGTAATGAGCATTAAGGGCGCTGGATGATCAAAACGTATGAATAGTCACTCATAACAGTTACAAATTAACGACAGAATGTAAATTCATTAAAAACTTCTGTTTGATGTGTTTAAAAAAGCATTCGATGGATTGTCTTTAGCCAAGCATCATTATTTTTTTCTGAATTTCGCTTTTATGTGTCAATAAAATGGAAATTTTATTTATTTCTGGGCCGGCCTATAAAATTGTTCTGAGAGGTGTCCTTTTTTTTTCTTCTTCTTTTTTTTTGTTGTTGAAAATGCCTTTCGGTCAGCAATCTTTCGAGTAAAAACCTAGTCTGGCAAGAAATTCGGCGTTTGACCTTTCAACATCTTTTTCTGGTCCTTCCCTGGGATCAAAAAGGCAGGAAGTGGATTTTGTAGCCCCCGGATACAAAATTGTTTCTTTTCCCTCTCTCTACTACTTAGAGAGTACAATCACGTACACTACAACTGTACTATACGTCGTTCTTTCCCTCTCCTACAAATGTTGCATTTAAGAGAGAGGCCTCTTCCTTCCCTTTGGGTCTTTTCTAACCTAACCAACAATTTCTGCCATCACAGAAATTTTTTATTTTTATTTTTGGTTAGAGAAACATGAATCATGATGGAATTTTGAATAATCCTTGCTAAGACTTTTACGAATTTACTGAAGCAAGTTTACTTTACACAAAAGATCATTCCTGACTAAGGCAGGGGCATACGGGGCTGCCTCCCCAGTCCCCCGCATTACAGTAGGCCCCCAAATCGAATCGATCGTATGAACACGATCTATATTTCGTAAATCCATAACTTTCAAGTGCGGAATTCAGCTAAATTTTCGCAATGAAGATGGACAAATCTGTATTTTTACATATAGCAAAATGCGATGTGTTTACAAAAATACGGCAACAGTACGATGAACAGTCGTAATGACGTCAATTAATCCTTCATGTCAGCAAGGATTCTTTGCAGCTCAACAATGAGAAAACTGCATTCGGCATGGATGGACATAGAATTATCAATAAAATGGATAGAGGGCGATATTTCGTCAGACCATTGGAGGGGACTTAATATCTATTTTAGGTCCTAGTCAATTTTCTTGGGGCTGTGCTTGGGGGTGTGCTTCATTCATAAGAAGGCGGACAACAGTTTCATCCATCTAGATTTGGCTTTATTTCACTATTCTGGCGCACACGCTTAAAATTTTTATGCGGCAGTCAATCTTAAACTGATAGGAGTGTGAGCAGGTGTGTGAGGCAGGTTGGCCTCACACACCTGCAGATAATTATGGGGTTAAACTCAGGTAGGAACTTCCGAGGATGGATAGTGATGTAGCCTTTTCTTGTGATCTACAATCAGGTGAAAAATTAAATACCTTTATATTCCTTCCTATTAAATATCTTCATTACTGAAGTAGGGAAGCAGAAGGGGGCCCAATTAGGCTAAACTCGGGCCCTGGACAAGGTTGTTTAAGAGCAGGTTCTAAATTATTACTGTTAATATTTACAAACTTATACCAAGACAATTCCACAATCAGCGCTCTCAAACAGGTTATTGAATGGTTTATATGATTTTCAAGTTTGGAAAAAATATTATTTCAAAATGTAAGGAATTTTTCAGCATTTTTCCTAATCGAATTTCGTCGATTTATTTAAAAAAAAAAAAAATTCTAAAAAATCTAAAAGTAGTCAAATGCATGCTATTTATTCATTTTATTTTAGAGGTTTTTCTTAATTTATACCATAGGGAATAGAATCTATTATTAATTAGAATTAAAATTACATAATAAACATTACGAAATAATCAATTATTTCATTAGTGTTTTAGTAACTCTTGATTAGACATTTCTTCTAGAGG